TAATGTAACTGGTTTTGTCATTTACATTCTGCAAACTGTGTTTTACTGCTTTGAACTTGCAGAATGAGCTTGTCTGGGGGAGGAAGTAGACAAGTACAAACAAACTCTGAAGTTGTTCTTGAAGAAGAAAAAAAGAAATGTCTGAGAGCTCGTTATTCGTACGGAATTATTTTTTTAGTAACAAATCTATTTGCCTGGTTTATTCGTGACTACGGACAGATTCTTTTAACTGAAATTACTTGTAAGTAGAATGATTTTCTCACTTTCAGGTTGATGTTTTATATATATTTCTCTTTCAATGTGCGAGCTTCTTTTGCAGATATACGAACTTGCGGAGTTGATGGAGGTGATTGTTTTCATACGTTAGGAGTACTTCGTGTGAGTTTAGGATGCTTTGTATTCTTTATATTTCACGTTCAAAAATGTGATTTCACGTAGACCAAGTACGAGAGAATTCATATTAGTTTATATACATATTAGACAATTCTTCCATATATCATATAATTTTGATGATAAAATACGAAAAAACTATATTCGTATCCTTGACAGAGAGCTCAGATATTTTTCTTCCTTATGTTTCTCGCTACATTTAATACGAGCAAGCTATATGGAGCTCGCAACAAATGGCATTCTAGATACTGGCCGTTCAAAATTTTCATATTGATTCTGTCAATGCTGCTTCCTTTCGTCTTTCCTTCAGATTATATACAATTATATGGTACGTGACATTTAGTTGAGAACCAAGAATTCAAATCCCACCTTCAATTTCAATACAAGTTATGGTTATAATGTCAGTTGAGTCACAAGCTTATCTGATTTTCTTGCAGGTGAGTTTGCAAGATTTGGTGCTGGGTAATATAAATATTCTTCATATCCTTTGAACAAATACTGCATTTAATTACCATGCATATATATAACTATATTACAAAATTGGGAAAGTAGATGATAGATGATAGACAAAAGCTTCCCAGATATAAGAACAAACGAATTATCAGCCATCATTTGAATCTCATTTGATTTTTGGGATTCTGAACTGGGTGAATGCTAAAGTTGTTCCATTTTCTGGTACAGAGTTTTTCTTCTTCTCCAACTAGTGAGCGTGATCGAGTTTATCACATGGTGGAATAACTACTGGATGCCAGATGAGGAGAGGAAGCAAAGGTATACAGTCCATCACCAAATTCCAACTCTTCTTTTCATTTTATTCATTTAAAATATTATTTTGTGATATATATACATATATATTTTTTACTTTTGTGATATTTCACAGCTGCTTCTTCGGATTATTCATGTCAACAATATTTTACATTGCTTCCATATGTGGAATTATATTGATGTACTATCTGTATACCTCAAGATCAACATGCTATCTCAACATTTTCTTCATTACTTGGACTGCAATTCTGCTGCTAGTGATGATGGCTATATCTTTACATTCGAAGGTATCGTAAAATTTCATGTTAAATAAATTGCACAATCACATGAGCGTTCGCAACTGGACAACGATTATATACATAAACAAACATTATGTCTATGATTTGGATGGTTAACACAGGTGAACAGAGGCCTTTTATCTTCAGGAATAATGGCTTCCTATGTTGTATTTCTCTGTTGGTCTGCCATCAGAAGGTCAGAAATTTAGTTCATGTATGAGTTAGCTATTTGGGTTTATTCAATAATAATTAAAATGTTGATATATTTTTCTTCCATGGTAGTCATAATTTTATATTGACATGATTTTCAGTGAGCCTGCTGATGCAAAATGCAATTCACACGAGCAAACTGGAAATAGTGATTGGACTACCATACTTGTAAGACTTTTATTAGTCTTACTATCTTCTAGATTGTCTTTAAATTTCAAAACTTGGAGCTTTTGATTATGTTCACTTTTTTCTCTGCTTACAGAGCTTCTTGATAGCAATATGTGCCATTGTCATGGCAACCTTCTCAACTGGGATTGACTCGCAATCATTTCAGGTCTTGAATACACATATATCAATAGATAAATTTCAGTTTAGTCATTTGTAGTTGAAGATTTTTGTTTTTTTTTCCGTAATTAATACTTGTCTATACATAAATAAACAAATAGTCATCCTTAATATTTTGTGGAAGTGTAAAGAAGAGCTTCGTTTATATGACAATGGTGTTCAGTTTCGCAAAGATGTAGTGCAACAGGAAGATGATGTTCCTTACAATTATGGATTTTTCCACCTTGTATTTTCATTGGGAGCGATGTACTTTGCAATGTTGTTCATCAGTTGGAATCTACAGAAATCAGCAAAGATGTAAGGAACGGGTTACTTTGTCGATATTCAATCTACAAATAATGCCATTTTCTTATTCTCATCTGGTTGTGTAGGTGGAGTATTGATATTGGCTGGACTAGTACTTGGGTGAAAATTGTTAACGAGTGGTTTGCAGCTGCAATATACTGTGAGAGAATATTTATAGTAACAATGAACCAACTACATGAACTTCGTAAGATAATAATGATTAACTCCGTCTGTTTTTTCTTGTTTAAATGCAGCATGGAAATTGATTGCACCTGTTCTGAGACAGAATAAAGTCATGAATCATGAGGAGGCTGGACAACACACAAATGATTCAAACTTGCCCTGATTTTGTTTGAAAATTCGCCTTACCTCTTTGTTGTTTTTTGTCCCCCTGTATATTTAATCTATATCTGTCTATCTATTCATCTATATAACGCATAAAATCTTGATAATTGAGAAATCATGAAGTGGTGTACGATAATATGGTCCATTGGGTATGCTTGTGATGTATAAGCGTATCAATTTGTAAGTTTTGAACACTATAATCTAACAAATAGAACATGACAGAATAGTGATCTTGATCTTTAGCATGACTCTGAGTTGCAGAATTTTATTATGGACCTTTCGCAATCTGCATTCTAGGTTAATGCTCTAGAAAAACATAGCAAGGTCCATAAAAACATATTGACATCCAATCCTGACTTGGGGTCACACCAAATGGGGAATGTCCAAGGAGTTACCATAGCAAGCTCCGCAATTGGCATCACACAAATGATGGCATTTACAGTCATGAAGGAAGGAAAGGAATCCAACGATAACCTCAATCTCCATGAAGTATGCAAGGTTGTAAGTGCTATCTAACATTTGTTGGTGACTGGTGGGACAGGCAAGTTTAAGAATGCTTATGGATTTGTCGAGGTTCGTCCCTTCTATCACAACATGTCACTAATGGTGCAGAAACATTGCTAATGATCACTGTCTATCTAAAATACCGAGAATGAATGGTGAAGAATTATATCACTAGTTTGTGCACGAATAAATGTGGTAACATATTGAAGCTTCTACTGATTCATGAAAAGCTAACATTGGTAACTTTGTAAAATGTTATATTTCCTCTGGACAACCATCAGGGTCTTACACCAGACCAATGGACTCCTTTAAGGCCAAGCTCATCACTTTATTCCTATAGATAATGGTATTGCAGAGAAGGGGCCAAACTCTGCAGATTGATCAAGTATCTTCTTAAAGTCCTTATTGACCTTACACAGACAGAACACTGAATAAGTGAGGTTATAGACATACCTTCTATATTTGATGTGTATGATTGTATTCCTTCACCTATCATGCCAAACTACTGATATTTACACAATTAAGCACAACACCTTCGTCAAGCCCATACAGAGAATCTATCAAGTGCATCCTCAAAGAAGCTGGACCTTTGGCCATGCTCATCCCCATCTCACCAGCAACACCAAATATGGACATTGCCGAGGCTGTTGCCTCCAAAGCATGTGATTGGTCCATAGCAACAAAGGCAACCACAAGGGCAGAGGCTGCACATCCTGTTGCAGTGATCTTCTGCATCATTCCCACTCCATTATGCACACCACCAACTCGTTTCCCGTCCGTGATAATATCAACTGCCCCTGATACTGCAACTATGGCTCATGTTGCTTGAGCCAACTATTTGGCTGCTTCAACTGCATCCATTGAATCGTGGGCGCTGTCTGCAACCTTTCAACACGAAAAACAAAGTACTATTCTGAAGTTAAAACCGATAAAGATCAGAACTTTCAGTTGTAGTCACTAATATAAATCCATGATCATTAATCAAATACCTTAGCATGATCTGTCGATGCCTCCCAAAGCGCGATAATCTCGGAGCCGTTTCCCTTAATAACCGCGGGCTTGAGATGGAAGAGCTCCAAACAGACCTGTGACCGAAAAGGGGAAGAGCCGACAGCGGCCGGGTGGAGAACCCAGGGCTTGTGGAACTAGGAGATGAGATTAGCAGCTATCTTCATGGATGGTACCCGATCAGCAGAGAGAGTACCAATGTTGATGTAAAGGGCATTGGCGTTGGTGGTGAAATCAGGGATCTCACGTGTAGAGTGGAAACCATGGCAGGTGATGCACCGGAAGCAAGAAGCGTTTTGGCAACAAGATCCAGGGAGATAAAGTTGGTGATACATTGAATCAGCGGTGACTGGCTGCGCAGCAAGCTGAGATGAAACCATGCTGTAGGCCTCCAGCTGCTTGGTTCAGTTTTGTTGGGTCCTTTGCAACCATCGGCAACTGGGTTTCCACTCTCCATGGACAAAGACCTCTCTTTTTCCTCTCCTCTGCGCTCAATTCCTCGGCTCCCACTCTCTCAGCCGCGCCCGTATTCTTAAAGAAATTCCCAGAAGCCCGCCCCCAAAATCGAAGCCCTCGAATCTTCTCCATCTCGATCGCGTCTCCTTCTTCCTTTCCTAGCCGCAACCTCCTCCGCTCTGATTTCACCATATGCAGATGTCTCCTTGTCTTCTTCCTCAGTCCCGTCGCTTTCGCCGCATTCTCTCTGCTCTTTGTCGCTTAGCGGCAGCTCTTCATATCACTTACATGCGTCTTCTTCACGGTGCTAGTCTGGGTCTGATCGTCTCCGTTCGCTGTAGGTTTGTTGCAGCTCTCTCTTTCTTGTTTTTTCGTTTGATGAAACAGAAGGGACAACTCAAAGAACGTGCAGAATGATGGCGGGAAGAAAACGTGTAAAGATCGGCCCTTCTTTTTGGGCTTAATCTTCGAATTCGGACCAGATTTGGGTTTTTAATGAATAATTGGATCTGGGCTAAGACTGAACTTTTCTATTCTGAGATCCTTTGCAATCTGCACTTTCAGTTAATGCTACTGTCTTTTAAACATATGTTGCTTTGGGGATTTATAGATATTGTATAGGCTAATTTTGTTGTTTTGGAAAAGTAAGTATATGGTTCTTCCCTGAAGTAATTAATTGACTTTTTATCACTAAAATTTTGTAAAAATTAAATAATTGGTAAACATGATCTAAGGGGGGGGGGATGTATGTATATATCAAGGTTAACTTTCAGCAACCATCATTTGTTTAAATATGTCGTCTACTCCATTAAAATGAAGATTCAGTTCAACAACTCCAACTTTTAAAATTTGAGATGCAGAATTATGTTCATTTACGACCAACACCTATCCATCAATCCTCAACATGGTGTCTTGCAGTAAATAAATTTTCATCTGGATTATATGCGGTTCACTACTTTCGGGATCGGATTTGTAGTTAAAAGAAACTAAAAGCTGTAATTTGAAGAGTATTATTAGTAAGGTAACATCTAGTTGGCCAAATGAGACTACAAGCAAATGGGATAGAGTTGAAGGAACTACTTTTAACATTCTAGTACATTTTACTAATGAAGATAGTGGGGCACTAATCTGAATAAGCATGAGTATTGTACTATCAGTTTTTAAGTGGGGGAAGAAAAAGATCGACTGCCAAAACAAGCTAAAAGACCAAAATTAGGGAACTTGCATAGTAACTGCTACAACAACTTCACGTTCTAAAGCCTAAAACAACTCCACCCATCTTTCCTATTTAAGAAACGATAGCCCCTAATCACCCGTACTCAAAAACTTATCCAAACCCATTAGACACTTTCCAAAGTGGCAAAGATGTGCAACAAATCATTATCATATACTTTCTCAGTGCTAGCTGCAGTTGGGCTCTTTGCAACATTTGTTGCTGCAGGAGGAGAAGAACCTGTTCTTGAATTTTACATGCATGACATACTTGGAGGCAACAGCCCCACAGCAAGGCCAATCACTGGCCTGCTGGGAAACATCTATAATGGTCAAGTACCCTTTGCTAAGCAGATAGGCTTCCTCCCTCCCAAAGGTGGCGTGGCAATTCCAAATGCCAACGGTGCCATTCCAACAGTCAACGGTATCAATGGCGTCCCTCTGGGAACAGGCTTGGCTGGTTCAACTTTTGCAGGCAATCCTAATAATGTTCAGACCCAACTAGGACCGGATGGTCTTGGCCTAGGTTTTGGGACTATAACTGTCATTGATGACATATTGACAGCCAGTCCTGACTTGGGGTCACAACAACTGGGGAAAGCTCAGGGAGTGTATGTAGCAAGCTCTGCAGATGGTACTACACAGATGATGGCATTTACAATCATGATGGAAGGAGGAGAATACAACGACAACCTCAATCTCTACGGAGTTTACAAGATTGGAAGCGCAATGTCACATTTGTCGGTGACTGGTGGGACCGGCAAGTTTAAGAATGCTTATGGGTTTGCTGAGATTCGTCCCTTAATCCCACCTGGTCAACATGTCACTGATGGTGCAGAAACATTGTTAAGGATCACTGTCCATCTAAAATACTGAGAACGTACGGCTAAGAATTATCTCACTTGTTTGTGTGTGATGAATTTGGTGATGTACTGAAGCTTCTTTTGCTTAATGAAAAGTGAATATTGATAACTTTGTAAAACATCACTTCCCCACCAGATTACCATAAGGTCTTTTATTGTTCCTTCAGAATACTTCAATTCCAATGATAATCAAACTGTGATTTTCTTAGCAAACATGAACCATAGAAATGCATTCCATATCTCTTCAAAATATCAGGAAAAAGAAAAAAAGAAAACACCAAGCAATCAAAGAAAGATTCTAAAAAAATAGATGTATATACGAGCACCTCCACAGTTTTGATGCACATAAAATGAAGTTGGTTCTCAAGTTCATAAAGTTTTGTGGGAGTACCGGCTCTCTTTGTCGAACGGTCCAGTTAGTTTTTTTAATGAAAATAAACGAAGACACTTATCAACAACCTATAACACCCTTTAAGGTATTCCACATGATGAACGCATCATAATCCTTTGCCAGCGTTAAAGAGAGAATTTTTATTTCCTTCTTGCCAGTTGGTCCCACAATTTGAACATCTTACATGAGAATAAGCCCTTAAGCTAGGCCAGTGAACTCCTATAACGCTAAGTTCATCATTTTGTTCCTATAAATAGTTATACTGCATAAATAGAACCCCAGCAGATTGATCGAGCATATTCCTAAAGTCTGTTATTGACTATGAGTAAACAAAACTCTGGATATGTCAGGTTTTTGACATGCCTTTTATATTTGATGTTAATTGACTGTATTCCTTCAAGTATCATGCCAAACTACTGATATTAGTGCGACCAAGCACAACACCTTCATCAAGCCCATACAGAGAATCTATCAAGTGCATCCTCAAAGAAGCTGGACCTTTGGCCATGCTCATCCCCATCTCGCCAGCAACACCAAATACGGACATCGCCGAGGCTGTTGCCTCCAGAGCATGTGATTGGTCCACAGCAAGAAAGGCAGCCACAAGGGCAGAAGCTGCACATCCTGTTGCAGTGATCTTCTGCATCATGCGCACTCCATTACGCACACCAACAACTCGTTGCCCATCTGTGATAATGTCAACTGCCCCCGACACTGCAACTATGGCACCAGTGGCTTGAGCCAATAACTTGGCTGCTTCAACTGCATCCATTGACTCATGGGCGCTGTCTACACCCTTTGTACATGAAAAGCAAAGTGTTATTCTGAAATTAAGATTAATGGAGATCATAGCTTTTAGTTGCACACATTTATATAAAGTCATGATCATGAATCAAAATCGAGAAAATACCTTAGCATGACCAGTCGATGCCTCCGAAAGTGCGATAATCTCAGAGCCATTTCCCTTAATGACAGTAGGCTTGAGCTTGATGAGCTCCAAACAAGCTTGTAAGCGGAAAGTGGAAGAGCCAACAGCGACTGGGTCGAGAACCCAAGGTTTAGAGGACTTGGAGATGAGGTTGGCAGCCATCTTCATAGGTGGTAGCCAGTCGGCAGAGAGAGTGCCAACATTGATGCAAAGGGCACTGGTGTTGGGGGTGAAATCGGGGATCTCATGCGGGGAGTGGATCATGGCAGGTGATGCACCAGCTGAGAGGAGTGTGTTGGCAACAAGATCCATGGAGACAAAGTTGGTGATGCATTGAACAAGTGGTGATTGGCAGCGGAGCAAGCTGAGATGTGACCATGCTGTTGGGCCCCAGCCACTTGGTTCCATTTCCTTGGGTTCCCTGCTATGATCGGCATCTGGCCTTCCACTCTCCATGAAATTTAATGAGTGTCTAATAGTGGTAAGCTGTCGCAAATCTGCAAAAATTAAATTTAAATAATTCAAAATCAAAAGGGAAGAATCGTCATGGATCTTATTAGAACAAGATCAGATACTAAATTTAACATGCATTGGTTAATTTCTGGAAAAATTAGATTCAAAAAGTTGTTTCAGAAAAATAGGATCAGAATGGGTAAGGCACCTATCTGATAACTAGGCTAAATAATTTTGGCTAAAATTTTTCTATTTACATTCTAAATCAAAAGACTAAAGAACCATGAGACTAACTAAAGTTCTTATACCAAAATCAGACCAAACTATAAAAACCTTCAAAACAATAACTACATGGTAAAATTACTGCCAAAATAATAGCTAAAAATGAACGGAACCAGTGAGCAATTTTGCATTGCATACCTGTTTCTTAAAGAAACAAACTTCAAAATAGAGTTTTGTTAAAAAAAAAATAAGCCACACGGTGAAAGAATGAGGAGAACTCTGAGTAGATGACTATATGCAATTCACACATTTTAAATGCAATGAGATGCAAAAGCCAAGTGAAAGTCATTTTAAATCATAAAAGTGAAGAAAATAAAGAGAGATAGAAAAGACAAAAGAAAAGGCGAATATAGAAAAAGGAACCTAAAGGATGGACCTAAAATATGCTTAAGAGGGATGTCTGGAATATAGCAAGGATGACTCTAGCTACCATGAACTCAGCTGGCTTCATGGTTAAGTTTACGCACGGAGCAACTAGGCTTTAGTATCATATCGAATGTATGCCAAAAAAAGGGATACCGAATCAAAAATAGTAAACATCACACCATGCTACAAGACATGCAGAAACAAGAAAAGAAAGGAAAATCTACAAATCCTACATTGAGCAGTCTAATAGTGTTCATGCATTCAAAACTTGAAGGAACCATCTTCCAGGAGTACAACAATATCTTGTAAGCTCAATCAGTCATGTATTAATCTGCCCAGAAGAGTATGCACTTCCCAGGGTTGATCAAACAGATGGGACGTTATCACTCACCATATTTTACTATTCCATGGCCACATTTCAGAACCAAACAGATAAGGCAACAATTGTATATAGTAAATGAGAATCAAACGGAAGAATAACGGAAATAAGAGGAAAGGGAAGCATTGATATTCAACATTCATCAATCAACAACACCATCCAAGTACATAAAAGAGGATACAGCATATAAAGCAAGAGCATGTCGATTCTTACTTTTTATGAATTATGATGAACAGGAAAACCCGAGTTTCTCTTCTTTCCCAGATCCTCTCTGTTAGTCTACCCAAAACAAACAGGACAAGAAAAAACTCGCAAAGAAATTTCCTTCTGATTTTTGAATCTCAAAAGAAACCGTAGCCAATTCTTCTCCTTCTATTCTCTCTGTTTCTGCTTCTTTTACTTCCTTTCCAAAGCCATATACCTTCTGCAACAAATGGTGGCGAGCGAACTCTGCGATTGCATGAATCCTGCTTCGTTCTCTCCCTTTGTCGCTTCTACATGGATCGTTTCCAGGTTGTAAGTGTGAACTCTTCACGGGTGCATCCTGTCGTCTCTACTTTCTCGTTCTCTAGCAACCAAAACAAAGGGTCTCTCTATCTCCTTCCCTCTTGACGGTGATTCCAAGTCAGTAGACCCTAAAACGGTGGCGTTTCTTGTGAAGGAACAATGGGTTGGGCCAAGAATTGGGTTTAATTTGAGTTGCAATTAAGTTTTAATTTTTTTTACGCTCAAATACTTATAATTATATACCAAATTATAAATTAAAATAATGCTTTATATTTAATGACCAAGTCATAATAATAAAAATTAAAATAGTTATAATGTAACGAGTAATTCGTAAGTTATATTGATAATTTATGTTAAAAGTAAATTCATTTAGGAATTTCAATTACGGTACAATATATTAAGTGCTATGAATAATTTATTTATATATTTGAAACATTTTAAGTTCTAAATTCATAATTTAATAATTAAAATCCTATTATAATATTTTAATTTAATTGATTCTTTAGCAATTTAATTTTCAGTTTACAAAATGTTTAAAGTTGGAGAAATTTTTGAAATTTAGCAAATAAAAATTATCAAATTCTCTTAAATTATAATAATAAAAATAATCAAATAGTCTCTAAACGACACCGTTTTACTCCAAAAAAACCTTAGTTTTCTTTGCTTCCGTCCCTACAGATTTCCTCCCGCTCCCTCCATCTTCCCGTGCTTTCTCTACACGAGAATGGAAAACAGAAGCAGAAACCAGGATTCTTTAACTCGACGCGTTTTGGCAGAGAAGCAACGGCAAACCAGGGAAGGATCCGTGACTCGAAAGGCTCGCAGCAGGCGTCTGGCTCGAGGATGAAGGAAGCCTGAAGAAGCTAAAATCAGGGAGGCACCTGGATTTAGAAAGCAGACAAGTCTTTTGCGATGGGACCGAGATGCAGCGGAGGAAAATGGAAAAGATGCGTTGACCTTTGGCGTTTTTCATTTATAAAGCAGTGAAGGATATAGGAGAAAAGGGGAGGATCTGGGGCTTCGGGTGTGAATGAACAAGGAGAACAGAAAGAGGTTCTGACAACGAACAAAGAGCAGGTTAGAGGAGGATAGGCGTATGGTTATGTTCCGGTCCCAATCAGAGAGAAGCGAAGAAAAGAGAGAGAACTGATTGGGAAAAGGAGAGAGCTTTTCGAGGGAAAAATAAATCCAGACGAGAAAAATTTCCGGGTTTCCTTTGAGAGTTCTAAAAGGGGAAAGTAGAGCAGAAAGGACGCCGTGAGATTGAGGCAGTTTGGTGGAAAGTAAAGAGAAAGATGGCTCGGACTATCTATATCATGTCTTGGTAAAATTCCCTTCTCCTATGTTTTGCAAATTTCCAATCAATGAATTAGTTAGTTGCATTACAGTTCAATTGACATTTCTCCATGTTGTTTTGATTCATTTCCTCTTTCATGAGTATTGTTGAGCAGGCGAACTGTAGGTTCGGTTGTGGTAGATATGGTTATAATGCGTGTACGTTACCTGCTTGTATAAATGCCTCTGAGAACTGTGATTTGTGTATGATTAATAAGGAGGATCATTTAGAAATAATGAAGAGCTTTTTGATCAGTTTGCAATATGGGTTATTGGGTCTGCATGGGATGCATATGGACCCCTTTGATTGTATAAATGGTCGCTTATCTTGCATCTTAATTTTCCAGTAATGAACACTATGATCTACAAATAGAAGATCAGGTGTATATATATATATACATGTATATGATACGCACGTATATATGTAGAAGTCACATATTTGCAGTCTTCTTCACTAGTGTGTGTATACATATATATATATATATGTCATGTTAAATCTTGCATTAAGATTGATATTCTGGATTAGTTGGGCCTGCTGCACCAAGCAACTTGTGACGCTTTCTCTGGGTGCGTAAGTTTCCAGATGATAGAACAGGTTAGAAATGGCAGAACATTTTAGTATTGACTTAGTGTAAAAATTAAACTCTCTCGTCACAGAAAATCACCAGTTGACTGAATATTACATCAGGTCCTCAACCACTCGTGGCCTTCCAATTGCAGCTTGATTAAAAATAGATAAATACTAGTGGCTGAAGAGATTCCCAAAGTGGAATAGTCTTCCAACAACCTCACCATTTCTGCAATAACACCAACTCCATTCAATCAAGTATATAAAGATCATGAACTCTATCCCATTTGTATATTCATCGAAGACTTTCATTCTTAAAATCCTACAAACCCAATTTACCACCACAAACTCTCATTCAAGATGTCTAAGGGAATCTCACCTCTTCATTTCTTTGCAGCACTGGCCATTGCTGTTTTGCGGGTGGCAATGGCAACAGCCACAGACGAAGAAACAATTCTTGAGCTCTATATGCATGACATTCTAGGAGGCAGCAGCCCAACTGCTAGGCCTATAACTGGCTTGCTTGGGAATATATATAATGGACAAGTGCCATTTGCCAAACCAGTAGGATTCTTTCCTCCAAGTGGAGTTGCCATTCCTAATACCAACGGAGCCATTCCAACCGTAAATGGTCTTACTGGGATTCCACTAGGAACTGGTTTGGCTGGCACAACATTTGCAGGACAGTCACAAAATACTCAGACAACTTTAGGTGGTGATGGACTGGGATTAGGTTTTGGAACAATCACTGTTATTGATGATATATTGACCACTGGTCCTGATCTGGAATCACAGGGAATTGGTAAAGCTCAAGGAGTGTATGTAGCAAGTTCATTAGATGGAACTACTCAGATGATGGTATTCACTGCCATGATTGAAGGAGGTGAATATGGTGACACTCTGAACTTCTATGGCATATTCAAGATTGGCAGTCCCATGTCGCGATTGTCAGTGACCGGAGGGACAGGTAAGTTTAAGAATGCTAGTGGATTTGCAGAACTCAGGGCGCTTATTCCTCCTGGCCAACATGTTACTGATGGAGCAGAGATGCTACTCAGGATCACTGTCCATCTTAACTATTGAAAAGAGATTTGTGTAAATTGAGGTCAAAACTGTTGGAAGATTCTCAAGATTCAAAATTTTCATTTGTATTCTTTGTTGCAAGACAAAGTTAAATGTTATGATGAAATTTGACACTGGCATGTAAAACTTTTATGTTTTTGCAGCCTGATTGTAATGCTACTTTATCGAAAGAAGATGCAAAATTCAAACTAAACAAATCAGCTTCCCTCTATGCACTAAGAACTAATATCATTATCAAAGATGAAATCTAACAACCAAAAGTGAAGTAGAATAATCTTTAAGAATAATAATGAGACTCATGATATTTTTTAAAAAATTTTTACTATGAGTATATTCGATCTTGCAAAATGTGTCTTAGTTGTTCTTAAATATTATATTTATATATATCTCATTCATTCATAAGTTGGCTCAGAATCAAGATTAAGAGTGTGCATTTCCCTATTGGAAGTTAAAATCAGAGTGGATTAGCTCGTTTGATTGGAGATTATACCAAATATTATTTTGTCCAATCCTTTATTGACACATATAGAGAATGAAAAAATATATTCATCTCAGTCCACTCTCTGACTAGATCAAAATAAACTGATTTAGACTGTAAATATTTAAAAAAATTAATAAGTATAACTGGTCCAATGATTTTATACACTTTTAATATTAATGAATTGAAAAATAAATGTGGCTTAAAATTCAATTTTGTCAAAAGAAAAGAAACAATTATTTAACACTGCTAATGAACAGAAACTTTTTTAATGATTTTATTTTTCTGAGAAAGACAGATTGACTGCTGTAACATTGAAGGTACAGCTGCAACGATGCCTGTAATAAACTAACCAGTCGCAGAGAAGCAAACTCAGAGAAAAGGAAGAAGACGAAGCGGAACGAAACTGAGGCCAATAACAATGCAAAGCCCGCCACAATCACCACCGCAACAAACTTTTGCAGCCATCGCCCAATCAAAACCCACTCTTTACGTTATTCTCGCCACTTCCTTCTTCTCTGTTTTCGTCATCCTTTCTCTTTCCTCCACCTCATCCGCCCCAAGCCCTTCCCGACCCGACCCGTTTCTCTTCCCCTCCCGCTCCCCTCTCGCCACCAAGATCCCGACTGACCCTACTCCTCCTTCCATCGCTTATCTCATCTCCGGATCGTCTGGAGACTCGGGTCGTATTCTGCGTCTTCTCTTCGCCACCTACCATCCCAAGAACCACTACCTTCTTCACCTCGACCGATTCGCTCCGCAGACCGACCGCGACCGACTGGCCATCACGGTCCAGTCCGTGCCTGTCTTTCGAGCCGCCCAGAATGTTGACGTTATCGGCAAGGCCGATTTTGCCTACACGAAAGGCTCCTCTCCCATTTCCTCCACACTTCACGGTGCCTCCATTCTTTTGCGTTTATCGGCTAATTGGGATTGGTTCATCAATCTCAGTGCTGGTGATTACCCGCTTGTTACTCAAGATGGTAAATACTTTTCTTTGCACTGCAGTTTTGTTTTTACCTTTTTAGCCGGACATGATTGTGGGTTAATTCTTGGGATTCCTGGGGATTTGATCCTTTTTTTGTAATGCTTTTGCAGATCTTCTTCACATTTTATCGTATTTGCCCAAAGATCTCAACTTTGTGAATCATACAAGTTACATTGGCTGGAGAGAGTACGACGCTTCACTTACTACATTTATGACTTTGTTAATTTTTTTCCCTTTTGGATTTTGACTTGCTATCTTTTAAGTGATTTTATGGAATAAATCAATTGGTGAATTTTTATGTTCTGAAATCCGTTCCAGGTCGAAGAAATTGAAACCTATAATTGTTGATCCGGGGCTTTATCTTTTGGACAAATCTGCAATGTTTTATGGTACTCAAAAGCGAGAACTGCCCAATGCTTTCAGATTGTTCTTAGGTAAGTTCTCTATCTCTGCGCTTATAAGTTCTTATCTTAAGCTCAGTGGAAATGTTTGAATTTTGAATCAAGTAACCACCAACTGTGAGCTAATCTTTTCATGGATTGACTTATTTGTGTAGTTTAATACATCGAGATTCTTGTTCGACCTGAAATTTTACAAGCTCATATTCATATGGAATGGACCACAAGATAATCTTACCAGAAAGGAAGGTGATGATGAATGTGAATTTAGGTCAATATAGTGATTAAGATATAGACTCGAATAACTAGACTTCATTAATATTCTTTGAAGTAATGGCACACAAGCAACAATTGGATAAATTTGCTATTAGCATCTTGCTGCAAATTCGAAGTCGTATATGTTACTGTGAGGATCCAGGGGCATTAACCAGATAAAGATAATAGAGGATAGGAATTTTAGAAGAAGATAGAGGTAGAATATAAAGAATAGGGCGGAAGAAGAAAGAATACGAAAGAAATTCCAAGAATCCTGGAAATTCAGAAACTATTATTTTCTAATGTACTTTCATTAGATTCTTCCTCAGCTTTACAATGCCCTTTAACTCATGCCAGTAACAGAATTGTGTCACTCTACAAGAAACTGTAACCAACACACTGTCACCGACTAATATTGCTACCTATTGATAGCTCTAAAGTTTTCTAATAAATCTCATATCAATTAATCACATTATTATAAGCAACAGAGAACATTAAGCAAATCAAATTATAGCATCAGCTGCTGGTGGCTGAACCACCTGCCATTGTCCATCATTAGGTTGAATTTATGGAACCTACATCAAATAAGTGATGTCTTCCCAAGTAGTTTCTTTAAGTCAAGACTGAGGTTAACTGACTGAACCAAGACTTGATCCACATGCTTGTCCTGCCTGTGGATAGCTCTCTGTTGCAAAATGGCCAAAGGGTTCAACCTTGAACTGTCCGTAATCATTACTTTCAGGATTGCGATCCTGCAAATTTTTTTTTGAGCAGGTGTATAGACGATTTACTGATAGAACCATATCTTTGCACAAAGTTGTGATAATATCCTGGCAACCCCAGAAAAGTCCTTAATTTAAGTTTTCTCTTTCTTAAGGATTTATGGATAAACCTAGACATTATATGTACAGTATCTTAAACATCAGATTTAAGAAATCTTAAGCATCACACTCAAGGGTTTATTTAAATCTCACGATGAGAAAATTGATAAAACTCTCAAAATATTTTATTGAATAATTGAATTCTTAGAACAAGTGAAATTACAAAAAACACTTATAGGCTTAGTAACTATCCTTTACCTAATAATTAGACTAAGAAATATAATACTAATAAGATCTAAATAATAAAAATAGAAAAACTAAATACTAAAAAGAATAAAATCTTAAACTTACTAAAATTACAATAATATACTCATAAAATGTCCAAAATTTTATATTTAAAAAATTTATAATTTCTAATCTATTTAGCCAATCTAGAGTTAGACCATTCTACATCACTAGGAGTTCATGGCTACCAGATTTGTCAGCACACCATCTGCAGTGATAATGTGTTGCAGTATTGCACCTGAGCCTGTCAAAAAGAGCACTTGGAGCGATTAGGCAAACAACTAGTACTCCCTTTGAAGTTTTACGAATATATTTTAAGTGTTCCAAAGTATGTATTGGATGAAGGGCTTCAAACTGAAATATTATTGGAAAATACTGATAAAAAAACTCTCTCAAATGGTCCATGAACACATGATTCCTGAGAGTCCAAAAAGTTGTTATGAAAACATCTTTAGGTTATCCTGAATTTGATGATAGGCTGACTTTAAATCAATGTTGGAAATGAAGACACTTAATGATGTAATTCATCTAACAAATCATTAGTGATTGGGATGAAAATTTTATCTTTGATAGTGATCGAGTTAAACTCCATGTACTCAACACAAAACTGCCTATTTTTATCATTTTTCTTGACTAACAGAACAAACGAGGCAAAGGGGCTGTGGTTGAGGTAAAAATAGATGACTCCAGCATTTAGGAACTATGTTTTTCAGTCTTTGCTTTTGGAAGTGTGAGTATCTATGAAGCCTCAGGTTAATTGGTGGCACACCAAGCGATAGAGAATTGGCACTATCACACATTTTTACTGGAGGCAAGCGAGCTTTCAGGGTCATTTACTATTATCCCTTTTGTTAATTGCTGATAATTAAGCTCACCCATAGTCTGGCTTGGTGGATCTGCTTTCATCTACCACCTTAGAGGCCCCCCACCGCACACAAAAGAAAAAGAAGCACCCCCATATTACTATCCCATCCTCCATCTTATCATCCTCTATAATGAATTGCAGGATAGGGGCTATAATTTAGGCTTATAGGAATATCCTCTGCAAAGTGAACTTCTGTCATTCCCTCTCAAATGACACTTGCTAGTGTAAAATATAAGAAAGGACTTGGTTGAAACACTTCATCCAATCATCCCAGAATCAATCATTGCCAACTCAATTGAAGCATCTTGAAGATGTGTTTGAAGATTACTCCTGTGTGCTTCATCTGATACTAGTAAATTTTAAGCAACTAATCACTCTACCACCATTCACTACCACTAAGGAAAGTAGCCTTTTTGCCATAAATTTCCCTTCATCTGTCTATATGTAACTTTCATCTATAAAAGTGTGAGAGCTACCACTATCAGCTAATATAATTATAGGTTGATTACCAATGAAGCCTTAACCTAATAGTAGTAGCCCCGCTATGAGCTTCAATTGCATGGATAGAAAATCTCCATGTTTCTTCCTCTGGATCATCAACCACTTCCCTCTCTCCAGTTTCTTTCTCCTCCTACTCTTCTTCTTGAAGCATCAACTCTTTAAACTTGCAATGCCGTCTGGGATAATATTTGTCATCACGCTTGAACCATTGGTTGAGAAACGTTTAGGTTCTATTTGAGTGGGTTCAGGATGAGATGTTTTGGATGGTTTAGACATGGATTCATGGTAAGCTGAGGTACGCTTGTTAGAGGATTGAATAGCAATCTTAGAATAATAGTTTCTAGATGAGATTGTGGTACATTTCAATAGTAATATCTGTTTCTTAAGTATGGTTTCAAAAGTTTGTTCTTGATGGATAGCTTGCTCAAATCTTTGGTTTAGTGTTTATGGTTTAAAGATTTTCATTGTTTGTCTTAATTCTTCATCCAAGCCACCGATGAAACTTGAGAGGAAATAGGGTTCATTAAGACCATGGTTAATAAGTTGCATAATGGATTTTAGCTCCTTTAATTGTTCTTGATGGCTGGTGACTGATCTAATTATCTCGATCATTAAAATCCTCTGCCAAATCGAGGATAGATGGATTCCCAAAATGATGATGCAACTCCACTGCAAATTTATTCAAAACTTCTACGGCAACTTGTTTTTTTGAAGTACATAACTTCTATGACAACTATAAATAGCAAAGGAGATAATGGATCCTCTTGTCTACTGTATGCCTTAAGAAAGAAGATGAACTCCTGTGCACCATGACCATAAAAGATGACGTGGTAATGCAGGAATTGATCCACTTACACCATTTATCTCCAAAGACCAATTTCTTGAGTATATATTCAATGAAGTCCTAATTAACATGATCATAGGCTTTGACCATATGAAGTTTGCGTAAGAACCCTTCTCTATTCCGAAAAATCAAATCGCCCACCACTTCATTGGCCACTAGTACTGCATCCATAATTTGCATTCCTTCCACAAAGATGTGTTGACATTTACCAACTATCTTACCCAACACCTTACCCATTCTTCTAGCTAACAACTTCAAAATGAGTTGTAAACACTACCAACTTGGCTGATAGGAAATACTTAATATTAACTGCCCCCTCTACCTTAGGAATAAGTACCAAAAAAGAGGAGATCAAAAACTTCACAAAAGACCCCAACTGGGCAAAATTAGGTTATTACAGTACCAATAATAGAATTCAATGACTCAGCAAGAACCCAGAACTGAAACAATGTACCAGATGAATATTGCAACTTATTGACAGCTGCCACGATACCACCTAACTCTCAAATCAATCAGTTACATTATTAGAAGCAAGCATAAGAAATCAAGTAAACCGAACTGTGGTATCACCTATGTCTGGGCTGGATCACTTACTATGTCCCAGCCTTGG